AAAAAAAAAAAAAAAAAACGAGTTTGCAAAGCTTCTGTGGTTGAAGAATGCCAGTACACATGCAACTTTTTAGTTCTGAAACATTTTCAAGTTTGTGCGAAGATTAAAGCGTAATCCTAAGCTGCTGTAGAACCCTGGCCGAAGTTCTTTTATTTTTAGATTTAACATTTTTTTACTCAAGAAAAAATTTGCTTTGCTGGTTCACTGCATCATCGAGATGGTGGTTCTCGCATCAACTGTTTATTTAAAGTTCAAAACTCTTCTGTCCTACGCATCTTTTTGCGACTGAAAACGCACGAAATAATCAGTTTTCGTTAATGTAGCATTTTTTCAGCTTGTCACCATTCTTCACTCTACGTGTTATTGCAGATAAAAAAGCCCATCTCCAAAAATACGTTTTTTGCCCGTCAACCCTGCTTCATTTTGCTGTATGTGGGACTTTCGACATGATACTGCCCAAGTCGTCCATGATAGTTTCAAACTTGTTCATTTGGATCTTGTTAATTTCTTAATTTTCTAATGCTGAGATGTTATATGGCCTTCTCCAAGTCATCGGGTGGTGTAACGGTCAGTGCACGCATTTTTTAACTTTTATTCTAGAGATCTATAGAGATTCGAATCAATAATTTTTTCAACAGTAGTTTCAGTCCTTTAAAGTGGTACGGCTTTGTAAGACAGGAAACGGCTATATACTTCTTACAAAAGAGCAAAGAAGATGAAGAAAATCCCCCGTGAGGACGTGTAAAGGAACCGCCATCGTGAACATTTCCCCAAATTTAAAATTCTCTTTGGTGTTCGCGACAGTACTACTTTACTACAATTTCCCGTATATTATTTTTGCGAACCTGACACCGCTGATGACAGAGTTTTTGAGCTGCAAAAATATCTTGACAATACGGCAAAATCAAATATGATACGACTTTAATTTTTATTAAACAGTATGGAGCAACAGTTTACTTTTTCTATAATAAGAGCTTTATTAAGGAACTCGAAAGATCCTCAATTCCAGTTTATCAATGAAATTTTAGGATTTTCAAACACCTAGACTATCCGCAAGGAAGAATAAGTGATTTTCGGTTCCGGTTCAAAACGGTGAATGGTTCATTGTCTTTTGTGCAAGTCGATTTAAGGTATGCTTGATATCAAAATTGACAAAAATATTTAACATAAACGTGTTTAGAAACCGTTTAGATAATACTTAGCTAGTCTCAACCATCCATAAATATTCGACTGTAGTTTAGCATAATCTGTTAGCTAGTGAGTAGCCTTATTTATACTTCTCTGATCTGTGTTTACGTGACATGAATGTATCTCTCAATGTTTTAGAAAAAAAAGGGCCATTCTACACCAAAAGGCACATTTTTTTCAGTCGGTCTCTCAGTCAATATTGTTCAAGTATTATTCTTTCAGCAGTGGGTAATATAATGCAATGGAAACTTTAAATTGCAACAGTGCCATCTCTCACGTATTGTGGAATGCCTTTCTTTATCTTGTGGATATGATCCGACCAGTAGTGGAGTATTAATTCTTTTAATATCTTTGTTTGCTCGCTTTGAGAATAACCCCTTGCTGGTCAGCATACAAAGGCATTTTCCTCGCAGCACCCAGTCTTCTTCAGATTCGCCATCTTCCCAGTCTTGATCTGGTATAAATTCAGATAATGCCGAGTTGAGATCACTATATTCATTTTTTTCTTATTGCTGCTGTAATCTTAACATACTTTGCTTCTCTTCTGGCTCTGGAGTGGAAAGTGATCCTGAAGCAGTCAGCTTGTTGATGTTGTGATTGCTGGGTAACAGCATTTTCGTGTCCATTTGTATTGTCTTACGGGGAGCTGCTGAATGAACGCCCTGAAGCTGTTCTTTTGAATTAGCAGACGCTGAAAATGAATGACCAAGACAAACAGCAGAATAGCAGTCTACTACCGCTTCTAAGAACAAATAGGTATGGGTTTCTTTTCCGGTCTGTTACATATCAACAGGTGTACAATACAAGTTATTCTATAACACTACAGCTTATTGATTTTTAAGATAATCGGTGAAAGTTATTAACATGCATATAAGACAGATGAATAAAAGGAAAGCAGTAATTTGCTGACAGTAGCGGAATTGATGATTGTATATTTGAAATGCAGCCTTGAGTGTGAACTCCCATAAGGGTCAACTTCACCAATTATCTTTAAAAATGAGAAAGTTATATGTCTTGAAAGAAGTACTGGTTGCGTAAAAAGCGGAAAAATATTTACACTTTGACAAGGCACAACTAAATGAAGAGTTTATCTTCCTCAGTTTACTTTCTAATATTTCAGACTAGCGGAGAGACAGTAATAACTTACAAAAGAAGAAATTTGAAATGTCAATTGCAGAAAGTACGCTATATCATGCGAAACGGCATACTAACAATGAAGTCATTGTAGAGCATCTATACAGCTCCAAGAATAGTCATCTTCTCGCTCTTACGCTTTAAAGAATTCTTTACAATCCGCTGTAACACAGACGAATTTGAAAAGGCATCGTCTAAAACGACTTTACAATAGATAATTAGCTTAAACACTCGATTTCATGAAACATATAAATATCAATCACAACTTTGCAAAACGAGGAATTACCAAGTAAGAGATGCATTAATATTTGACTGGAACCTTAACGCTACTAGCTGACATCCGGTAATGTGACAGCTTGTGAAGCACTAGAATGCTGCAGTGTCATGAATATAGCAGGTTCCTCAACAGTGAGAAGACACTGCGAAGAATTTTCCGCGGAAAGCATCCAGAGCCTTTTAAATATTGGTTGACCACCTCAAATCCAAAACTCTCTCGCCGTCCGACTCTTTAGCTGTTCATTGCTAAGCCACTTCCTACTCTAATATTATTAGCTGCACTTCGTACAATGCTTCGCTACCCGTTTTCATCAGTTAACGTGTCTATGACTTTTATCGTCTCTGTCTCCTCATTATTCTTTTGTTAAATTTTATCTTCCTCGCTTTAAAAACCCTCAAATAGTCGTGTAACAAAAGAAATGGATTATACGGAATGCGGTTTTTACGGAAGGACTCGCATTAAATATCCCACAAAATCGAGTTCCCGCTATTTTTGTGCCGAAAGACAACATGGTGAAAAAAACGCACTTGAGATAAGTGCTTAAACATCCTTCTTCATTGTGTAATTGCTTCTCCATGATTTGAACAACATCTTTTGATTGGGCTTCAAAGAACTTATTCTCGGCTGCGGGAGGCAAAAATTTTTAAAATCAACCAATATTAAAAGAACCATATTTCACCCACTAGCAATTGTGAAGAGATTCTAATTTGTAAAAGTCAGCGTTTTTTCGCTGTTACTCGCAACTTGGATAGAGTCGATTGGCTACAGAGTTAACTTTTACCTACATTTGAAGGCAAAAAATACTCAAGTAAATGGAAAACTTACCATTTTGAGCAAAGGGCCTATTATGTTAAAAAGTATATAAAATTTATTGACTAGAAAACTGATTATGTGATGCAAAAACTGGTTTTTGAACTGCTGGGCTGCAATAACGCTTCGCAATACACATTTAAATACAGGTTCCAAATGACTGGTTGAAGTTTTCACTGTCTCGTAAGGAACGATTAAAGATTACGTTGAGAAAAAAAATATTGGATCTTCTGTATTTGGCCAGAGGGAAAATATGTTTCTATTTGCTGGCAATTAAGGAACACGACCTCAAGACAAATGAAATATAAGAAGCAACATATGGCGAAATATGGCTTAGACAGAAACAAACAGAAACGGGCCTTTAAGCGTTGCATGCTTCCTCATGGATGTGATATAACGCTAGCCGAAACAAATAGGATCTAGGTAGCCCCAAAACGTTTATTTTTGAATATGAGCATTTATGAGTGGAGACCTGTCTGTAAAAATTATTATTCCGGTAAAACTTGGGAGAAATCCCCGGCAGGTTCGAAAATTTTCATGAACTAAAACACATTCACTGATTCCACTTTGTCTTGTCTCTACCTCATCTCTTCTAATGTTGCAGTGAAAATCTGCCACTTTTCTTTATAACCAACTAATTTCTCTCCTCCACTATCAAGGAATAAAATTACGCAGGCACCTTATGCTGTAGCTGTTTACAAACCAGAAGCTCTTAGAAAGTAATCCTGCATTCTGCACATATGCTACCTATTTCAGATGACTGAGTTTTACAATTATTTCAGAAATTAGAGATGTAAGAAGCTAAAAACCAAAAAATCAAACTGCACACGTGGCCATCTTAAGATGTTGCTACTATACTATTTATGCTCTAGCCCTGCTCCAGATTTTCCTCCTACGATTCCCCCTTTTCCCAATTTTCTGTACAGTCTCAAATCCTACTACACTTAATGATTAATTTAAAATTTGCTTCCTGGTCAAAAAAAAGGATGGTTTTGGAGCGCTATTCAAAGCTTTTCTTCCTCTGGCGCATACATCATTTCGTCGTAAACCTCAAACTCCTCACTTTTTGTAATGCTCTCGGCTTCTGCGTCCCAGATTTAGAAATTAGAAAAAAAAACAAACCCGGCGAGTACCAGTTTCAAAGTGGAGTATATTAAATTGCGCATCGCAGGAAAAAAACTAATGCTATTTCAAGCACTGCATTTCTGGTGTTTCTAAAAGCTGCGTTGAAAGGTATCAAGCAGTCCGCAAAAGGTTCTCAGTGATCTTTCCGGCACTGGCATAATTTTGGGAAAATAGTTTTACATTAGAAAAAGAATAAACTATATCTTGCTTAAATCAAAAAACGGATTGAGAACCTCTGAAATTTTGAACAATAAAGAAGCGGATAAAAATAATCAAACATGGACAGGGAACGGCGAGACAATACGACAAAAGCAAAGGCAAAAAATCTTTTGTTCGAAAAAGCTAAAAAGCGCATAAGGCAATAAACCAGGGAAATCTTTTTATAAGAATTGTGCAAGCAGATAGGTACTAAGTTTGTTAAGAATGCTAGAATATAATCAAATTTACTCCAATTCAGACACCTTTACATTATTCTAGTCAGAACGATCGTGCAGAATTATAAATCCAGATAGATAAGGGCGTTGACTAGAGAAAAAAAAAAAGAAAATCTAGTGTCGGTACATAAGCCAAAACAAAGAGTGATAGAAAATCTGTCAGAATTCATAACTTCCGACCTAAAAATTTCTAATAATTAGGATTATAAGAGCAAAAAATAAATGAACGTCTCCGATCGTTACATCAACGGCAACAACCCCCTACAATTGTTCACCTGGTGTTCAACTGAACTACCAAAACATGAAAACCGAGTTAAACTAAAAAGGAATTACTCGATTTCCTGTACCGTTCTTATAAACAGTGTGATAAAAAACTTGAATTATAGCAGAATTCCCGTTTTATCAATTCAAAACTTAAAAACTAAATTAATGAAATCCTAAGTCTTTCTCGATCCATATACATCCACACAGTAAGTTAGCTTAAAACCCAGGAGGATTCCAATCAATAGCCTTCTTGACTGGAACATCTTCCAAGGCGACGACTGCATCGTCTTCCTTATATCGTAAAGTTTTGTCTTCCATGGCAATTCCAACTTCTCGGCCGGTCTGCACAGTCTTTACATCCTAAATTAGAAAATGCAGTACAAGCAAATGCACTAAAGCTTATGCAGAAGAAAAAAAAACACAAACATTCATTTTTACCTGGTTTTCACATTGTAATGATTCTGCCTTTCCTTCATAATAAACTCCTCCAGCCCGCAGAAATCGAAAGGTGCAGTTCCTAAATTAACATTAGAAAAAAGTTGCCAATCAACCAGATTGTGAAGCTAGGGTAAATATCAGTTTAGTTAAACAGCCACCACAGAATGAAAGTTAAGAGCAATTGGAAGAGGTACCTTTTGAAAGTCCCCCACCGCACCAAAACACCTGCAACAGAACGTCTTTTTTTACCCCCGTAGCTCACAAGAAACTCCTTTATTACTTGACCCTCGCCAACAATTTGCGTCTCCAGCTCCATAGGCACTTGTTCAGAAAGTCGGTCCTTCAAGCTTTCTACCAAGTGATAAATCACATTAAATTTCTCTATAGTAACACCAAGTCTCTCCGCTGCACCTTCTACAGCTGGGCTTGACGTCACATTGAAACAGTAGATTACAGCTAAAAACAAAAGTCCACGTTGAAATACATCTCACATTTTGAAACTACAAGGTAAGAAAAACAAAAAAAATACAAGCAACCATAATGCTGTAAAGATATTTGTCACTACAATAAATTTTTAGTTAGAAAGTCAAAATATGCACCGTTCATTTCACTAGCTAATTTAATGTCTAGATCCGCTGGAGTTCCTACTTCAGCGGTAACAATCTGCAGTTTCACCTTAACTGAAGAGTACGTATGTAAGACGTTCAAAATAGCTTCCAAAGTTCCATCAACATCGCTGAATAACATTATTTTCAGGCATGGTGTTTCATCATCTTGTTCTTTCTGCAGACCAATTTCCTATAAGCCACAGTTAACGATGAATTTACAACTAATATTTAAAATTTAACGGAGAACAAGGAAAACTGAAAGTATAAAAAGTTACGGAATACTTTTAAAAAAATTCGGCAATACAGATTTACTTGAGTAGACCTTGTGCACAACTGCCCGTAGTGTTGAACCCACACGAATGCCTTTATCTAATAATTTCTGTCGATTACTCATATATATTGCCCTTTCTTCCATTCTCTTTTCTTTGATCAATGCCTAGACAGAATAAAATCCTCCTTTCTATAAAGTTTTTGAAGAAAGAAAAAAGCCTTAACACCTGTGCTGAAAAATATTAATTACGGTAACATTGCTTGCACCTCCAAGTAACACTTCAAATTGTGAAAATAAAAAGAATTTTTTAAAAAAAAGGTAAACAATATACATTGATTTCAAGAAAAAAAAAACAAAAAATAATTTTGACCATCTGACAACCTGTGGTTTCAAAACTCCGCAACATTAAAGTATCATAAAGTACAAGTCTAAAGACGACAGTTTAGTTTTAGTTCTGAAGAAGCATTTTTAGAGGTATAGATACTGAAACAAAAAAATGGAAATAGCTCCGCAGATACCAAAACCAATTTCAAGAAAAAGCTAAATTCCAATCAAGAATTATTCTGGATGGACCAGTTACGTATGAAAGATGCAGTAATGAGCCAAAACCAAAGTCAGATCAAAATGTTTTTGTAATATTTTTTTCTCTCTTAGGCTTAAATTTTATGCAGACAAATCCAAATCACAACCGTCTTCCTAATCGCGTGGTGTTCATACTACTTTCAATTTTGAGGTTTAAAGCTGCTTTCAGTCATAGTCCTTAACTTCTTACATTTATTCACTTGAAAGTGCAACTGATTTCTTGTAAAACAAAAGCTGACAAAACAAACCCAATCTTCATCCGCCTTTTTCTCCATATTTTTCTTTTTACGATAGGATACAATGTTCGTCCCTTGACGTTCATTCAGAACTTCGTACACTCGTTCTCCTGGTGACGGCAATAAATCTTTCCATCCTAAAACTCTAACAGGAGTGCTTGGTCCTGCTCCCTTGACTTCACGACCCGATTCGTCCATCAATGAACGAACCTCAAAAACAAAAACTTAAACACCATCTGCAGTCTCACATAAAGTCAAATTATTTTGAGTTAGAGGACCCAAATTCACCTTAGCAAAAGATGTCCCACCTACTAAATAGCAGCCCTTCTTTAACGTACCCCTTTGCACAATCATTACACATTCTTTTCCAAGCCCTAAAAAATGCTGTTGATGCAAAAAAGTATATCGCACCGTAAAGCAAAAACAAAAAAACTATTGCATTCAGAAATTGGATAGACCTGTAGTAACAGTAGATTCAATGACAATTCCTTCAACTCGTCCCTTCGGTGAACTGCGTAAATTCAACTCCTCTGCTTGCAATAATATGGCATCCTAAACCACTTGATTTATTTCATAACTTCAATATAAAATTTTTCTTTCGAATCACGAACAAACAACCACTGGGGAAAGTTAAAGACCGAGGCTGAAAATAAATAAAGCAGAAAATACAGTAAAAACGTTTCTGAAAAATTGGACGATGAGAATGAGAAGTAGCTACTTTCACTAACGGAACTACATAAAACTTAATGGCAATTCAATAAGTAAAAAGTGTATATTCTAAATACATATATTTAAAAACTACACTTTTAATGCACCAATGTTCGTCCCGTACAAAGCAGAGATTTCCACACATAAAGCATTTCCGTGAAAATCTTCCACAACTACATCATAAGGAAGTAATGATCGTTTTGCTTCTTCCTAAAAGAAATCAATAGACTTTAAATTAACCAGGAAATATCAAAAAAGAAGGAAGTTTTACGTCAATAATCTTTTCCAAAAATATGAAAGCATAAAAGCTACCGGCTTCGCAGTCGGCTTGTCGCATTTATTAATTGCAACAATAATGGGGACTCCTGACTCTTTTGCATACCTAAAAAAAACTGCTGCAAAAGCTCATGCCTAGTTCTTAAAGAAA